ATGTTCAAGATGTTTTACAGTAATAGCAAAGTTTTTCTCAAATGCCAACAAAGCACTGTGTCTACTGGCAACCCATCTGGTTTTCTGAGAGCCACTGCTGTGGTAGGCGGCCTGTCCATCAAAGATGTCAGCAAAACCATGAAGTTCCCTCCTTTTTTTTGGAGAGTAGTAGTAAAATCAAAAGATCTGGGATACACTGTCCATGAAAGATTGTAGATGAGGGACAATTTTAATGGCATCTCAAACTCCATGCATGTATAATCCAGGCATGCTCCCCTGGGAAATTTTTTCAATTTAACTACCTAACCTCAACTGAGTCAGTCACACAATGTATTTGCCAGTTCCATTCTTCTTGGATGAAGCCTTGCAAATCTGCGAATTATGTCTTCAAAGTCAATGTCCATGTTGTAATGAATGTGCAGCAAGGAAAGTCCTGTCAATCTCGTCGGTGACATCGTGCTTCGTAAATGTTTTCAGTCGCCTCAAAGCTGACACATTCCTTTCATGCTCACATGTGGTGACTTGTAAGGTGGAAGATATTTTTAGACACTCTGTGATGTTAGGATACATTGTATGGTCGATCTCCTTCAAAATTGCTGATGCAGTTATTGGGACAGTCTTGGGATCTTGTTGTTCCCACTTCCTTTGCCATAAAGTCATCTTGGCATCAAGGTCCAAAGGGGGGCAATGAATCTTTATGGAATGTGGAAAACTGGCCAAAGGAAATCATCCATGTTTCTTTTGATGCCACTAGCATTGACGGAACAGCAAATAGGCACTGCACTGCTGTTTCTTGGTCACCACTGCCAAATCCATTTTCCAGCTCATTGATCAGATGGCCAACCAAGGGAATTGTGAGATTTCTCCTGTAGTGGTCTTCTATCGTTTCAGCAGGGGTGTTTGCACAGTTGCGCTGTACATGACAGGATCTTGGTTTTTGCACTGTGATGCCCAGCTTCTCGGCAATTTAGCATGCTTGCTATGTCACTGGATGTGCCTTGCAACTTAACTGTTAAATTTTAACATCTTAATCTTGCATCTTAACACCAAAACTGCCCGGCAGACTGTCAAAGTAATAACGAAGTCAAAATTAGCGATAGTGTGGTAATAACTAACTGCTTTCTTAGTTGAATCTGCATTCCAACTTCTTTCTCCTGTTGCTTTGATGATTTCCAGTGTTGCAACAATGGCTTCAAAAAGCTCTAGGAAGACCTCCAAACCATCTATACGCTGAATCCAGTGGGTCCTACCAACATCGAGGAGCTTGTGACAGCGGAATTCAGGACAGACGTCTTTCACTCTCTGGACAAGGAGAGCTTCTTTCTTCAGGGAATACTCCAAGAATCTAGTTACCTCTCCAACTGTATTGAACATATTTCAAACATTCTGCATCTTGAAGGCACTCACAACAGAGAGGTTTAGGTGGTGAGCCATACAATGAGTGTATATAGCCTTTGGATATTACCTTCTGACGATGGCTGCAGCACCATTACAAGGTCCTGACATGTTGCCTGCACCGTCATAACACTGTCCCTTGCAGTAATTCATAGACAAGCCAAGTTCTTGACTGGCCTTCATTATAAGAAAGGCTATAGCTTGACCAGTGACGTTGTCTTTACTTTTGTAGAACCCAACGAATTCTTCTCTGACAATTCTTTCTTTGTTGACAAACCTTAGAATGACTGGTAGTTGTTCCTTGTTTGTGCTGTCACTTGCCTCATCTGCCAGTAGGAAAAATGCACCTGCTTCATTGATCTCTGCAATGCTCTTGTCTTGGATGTAAGTGCCTAACACTTCTATGATCTCATTTTGGATCATCCTAGAGCAGTATGTTGCATTTCTTGGGCCGTTGGCAAAATGATTCACAAGCACTTTACCGCCAGCTTCCACTCTGAAATTCAGCAGTGCTTGAAAGTTTCCTGGGTTGCCTGAAGCTTCCTCTATGTGTGACAAGTCATCACGGTGGCCTTGTAATGCTATGTTCTGTTTACCACAAAGCACAACAGTTTTTATGATAGATCGTAACTTCTGTCTGTTAAGTTCAACAGTGTTGTGATATATATCACTGAGCTGCTGTGAGATAGATGGCATTTCCCTTGCTGTACCCGAAGGAAATCTTCAGTGCAACCAACCACTGCCTTGTGAAATTCAGAATTAAGCCAGTGTCCCTTGAACTTTGTGCTTGCGGATACCCAGTTCATTAAAGGACTCTTATATAGTTTGTCAAGGCAGTCACTGTTCTTTCCTGGCAGGTGTCCAAACAAAACAAAAGCAGCAAAACACTCCATCCCAAGCCATAGAGTAGATCAGCCACAGAACTGAGTAAGCCACTCGAAACAAAATGCTCTGATCTTTTCATAAAGATGGGTTTTAGGGAAATTGTAGCTTCTAGGTGGTGTCCAAGAATTTTTTAGGAGTTCTAGCTTTTGGTCGTTAAATAGTTATTGTGCTATCGTATAGTAAAATCCCAAATTGTTGTGTTTGGTAGAATTCTCCAACGGTATGCTGGTGTCAGCATCCGTTGTAGTGGCTGAAAGAAAAAGACAAAGACAAAGAGGCTTTTACAATTTATGCCAAGTTGGTTAAGTGATTTAACCATTTAAATATTGCACTTGACAAATCGGTTTGATAATAACATCAAAAAATGTAGCAATTGTTTAGTGCAATTTTTTAATACACGTAAAATAACTTAATTATGGAATTACAAAGCAGCTTACAACATCTTTTAAAAACTCTTCTGTATATCAATAAGGAAACATCACATTCTGACGCCAGAAGACTGCATTCGTTATCTCTTTCATTGGTGCTGTGAGACATTTCCATAGGTTTTAGATTTTTGCAGCTATCCACAATAAATCTAACATCAATCAGTGACGGTGGTATTCCTTTTACACATAAGAAAACAACGAAGGTTCATAGAGAAAATGTTAATTTTATTCATTTGTTATATTATGGACTCACCGAAACTATTTTCATCAATATATAAACAGTCATTAAGAGTTAGCACTTCCTGACCAACAGCTTCAGACTTTTGGTTTGGTAAGCAATTTAAGGTACGTATTGGCTGACCACTTTAATCTAATGCCATGTTCACACTAAATGTTAATTATATTCAAATGAATTACAATTAAATCTATCATACTCCATTCGATTTTATTCAATTATGGTTCTGTTCACATCTGCGAAAATTCAAATAGACTAGCACCCTATCGAACAGCTTCCATGATATTCACTGCAATACTTGATTTGGAGGCCAGAAGAAAGGCAAAGGAAGCTTCAAAGGCTAGAAGAAGGAAAATACTCGGCCTGAAAAAGCAACAACGGATGAGACAGTTTTTGGTCAAGCAAGCACTTACCTTCGTTTTAGCCCTCCTGTTTATAGTTGTTGATCAAACCGTCGTTAGAACAGTTTGGAGTAAGCCAAGGAGCGAGCATTGGTGGACTTTGATTCAGCGTGAGTGGGATGATAAGGATTGGATGGAGCACTTCCAAATGGGGCAAGTCACATTTAACAAGCTGTGTACTGAACTTGAACATTACATAGTAAGACGAGAACGTAAGTACAAGAAATTATGGAAGAGTTTGAGGGGAAAAAGGGGTTCCCCCAGGTAATTGGGGCGATAGATGGTTGCCATATACCAATTATTTGTCCAAAAGATGATCAGGAAGATTATCACAACAGGAAAGGGTTTTACTCCTCTATTTTACAAGGATTTGTGGATAGTCACTTATGTTTTCGGAATATCAACGTTTCTTGGCCAGGACGTGTCCATGACGCGCGAGTTTTAACGAACTCTGCTCAAAATTCTTGATCAAAAGAAACGATACGAAGTACAGCCATTAAATATTCTTATAACTAAACTCAATATATTCATTTGTTTATTTTAACCTGATCAGTCAATGTTGCAGGACCACAGTTCTTGTGTCTTTGCTCTAAGCAAGTATCTGTATCATTTGCATGATAAATGCTTCCCTGCATTGATCATTTTCTTGCTCAAGCTCTATTCGTTTTTCTTCCAACTCCAATTCTTTTTGGGCCCGTCTTTCCTCCATCTCCATAAATAACTGTTGCTGCTCCCTTTGTACTTTAACTAATGTTGATAATGCTTCAGAAATTTTATCCTCTTTACAAGGTTTCTTGCGTTTCTTGCTAGTAAATTCCGGATCTTTTGTTAACGTAGAAGGCTGCGTAGAAACATGTTCTATCCTGCCTTTGCTTACAATGTTACGATTTTTCACCAGGCTTATGTTGGTTGTCTTTGTGCATCTCCTCTTTTCTTTGGGAGTTGCCACAGAGTTTTCATCTTCATTGGAGAGGGATGAGAATGAAACATCAACCACACTGCCAAAGGCTTCGTCGCCATCATTAGGATACTTCACTTTGGAAATCTTTTTGTCCTCTTTAGAACTGCTTGATCAAGTCAACGACCACTCTAGGTTTTGAGGTTGGTTTGCAGCCAAGAACACGGTCCATTGGTTTAAACATCTCCCATTCTTGTCGTTGGTTTCCAGAAATTTTGTTGCCGTCGCAAATCTCGAGATATTTTTGCTTGAGGTTGTTAATTTTAACACGACACTGTTGTGCACTTCTTGAGTACCCTCCATCGGCCATTCCTTGGCTTATTTTGTCCCATATGAGTTTCTTGTTGTGCATGGTGTTTAACTCGTGTTGCACGGCCTCTTCACTCCATAAAGCGATCAAAAGTTTGGTTTCCTCAAACCACCACGTGTCCGCCATTTTGTTTAATCACGCACTGTAATTACTTCCAACAACCCCCTTGGGGTTGTTGGAAGAAATTGTAATCCAATTATAAATCAGGGACTATAATTAGTTGATGTGAACCCATTTCGATTATAATTCGATCATAATCGAGGCCTAATGTGAACACGGCTTAAGTGTGTTAGCTTTTGAGCAACTTGTAGACTGTTAAGTAGTGTCTCATTTAACCTGGACTGGGATACTTTGACATCGACATAAGACATAGAAAAATGCAAAAAGG